CTCTTGGTCGCCAAGTCGGCGCCACTGCGTGGGCCTTCCCACCTCCTCGGCGCTGGCTGACGCCCTCGCCCTCCTCGCGCACGCGCCCTGCACGCTGCGCTCTCCGCTCCTGAGTGGTGACCTTCGTTGTCGCCTCCGCTTCCTCCTCCTCCTCGGAGACTGATATCGCCTCGTCGACGGCGCGCACCTCGGGCTCTGGTGGTTCTGGCGGTGGTGCGCTGCCTGACGCCGCCCTGCGAAGCTGGTGGTGCTGCTGCGGCGGCCGCTCCTCGTGCGGCCCGCCGTCCTTGCTAGGGCCGTCTCCTCGTGCCGCGCGGGAAGGTCGCCACCTCCTCTATCTGGGCCCCGATCTCGCGCCACTGCTCCTCCGTGAACCTGGTCCGTTCCCCTCCATCTTGTTCGCCTCCTGCTCCACCCGTGGGGGAGGTCGGTATGTCCTCGAGCTGGTCCGTTGCCTCCTGCATCTCATCGCTCGTCCTCCTGTGGCCTTCTCCTTCTGGGACTGGCCCATGTTCGTCGACCTCTGCCGCAGGGAGGATTGGCACGTCATCGAAATGCGCAGCACGCCGTCGACACTTCTCTATGGCGGCTCGACTGCTTCCTCCGTTGGTTCGCCCGTCTCCCACGGGTCTGGGCACGGCTCCTCCTCCGCAGCGTCCTCCGCTGCCCCTGGCGCTCCTCCCCTTGCACCCTCCGCGTGGCAATGTCACCCTACGAGCACCTGCCTGAGCATCCCCCATGCCGCCGAGGATGCCCAGCCCGTCCAGCACACGAGTCCGTGCGAGGGCCACCTCTTGCTCAGCTCCGCCTCCGGCGGCCTCTCGCCGTGGCACGAGCTGCCCGCCCCTGAACCTGTACAGCCGCCGGGCCACCAACTCCGGCGCCTCCCGCCTCGGCCGCGGGCCTGGAGCCAGGCTGCAGGAGCCCCCCGGGGGCGCTGGCGTCAAGGGGCCTGGGTTGGGCTGCCCCCCTCCCCCTCGGCGCCCTCCTCTGGCGCCGCCGGGGTCCCTTCTTCCATGCCGTGCGCCGCGCCCTCCTCTGCACATCCGCCTCTGGGCTGGGGCTGCTGCCCCTTGCGCACCACCTGGCGCCCCTGCCGCACAGGCTCGCGCGGCCTGCCTCTCGCGGCCTCGGCGTCGGCCTGACTCGCCGAGAAATGCTCGCCGGAGGCCAGGAGCCGCTCGACCCTGCGGCTGTTGGGCGAGCAGGGTGCTGGCCTGGCGCCTGCCTGTCCCTCGGGGGAGCGCCGCCGTCCGCTGCCGTGCCGCTGGGTCGGGGCGCGGGTGGCCCCGCTGGCCTGGGCACCGCTGCGAGCCGGGCTGCCCTCTCTCCGCCTGCCGGGCTGGCCCAGTCCTGCCCGTGGGCGGAGGGGTCGTGCCTCGGGTGGTGCGGCAACGGCGGCTGCTGCAGCCAGTGGGGCTGGTGCTGCTGGTGCTGTAACTGGTAGCGCTGCTGCCACGGTCTCATCGTCATGCTGCATGCTGTGTACCATCTGCTGCGTCATCCACATCTGGCACGGGTCGTGGGGCCATGACCCAGCTGGTGGCATCATCGTCTCAGCCCTCGGCGCGACGGATGCGGCTCTTTGCGGCGACCCTCGGCTGGGTCCTCGGCTGAGCACCAGCTCTGCAACAGGCTCGTCTTCTGAGGTCGCCTCGGCGGCGGCCTCTTGTTCTTCCTCTGTGCTGCTAGCGCCTGCTTCCTCCCCGCCCTCGCCGATCTGCGCCCGCAGCGCCAGCCCCTCGCTGATCAGAGCCTCCGAGACCCGCTCCAACTCTATCTGGATCTCTCCCTCTTGGCGGGTCAGCTCGGATCTCCTGCGACTGGAGCTGGAGGGCCTGCGATTCCAGCGCAGTCACTCGCTCGCACCCGCAGCGCGTTCATCGGATCCTGGATGGGGTCCATCTCCATGGAGCTGCAATTCAGCATGACCACCTCCTGTGTGACCGATTCTGGCAGCGCAACCTTCTCGCCGACTGGGTCATCAGCAGGTCGAGGGCCCTGAGCCGCTGCAGCACCTGGTGTCTGCGCGTTCTGGTTGCCGCCTGGCCGTCTGGCGGCGGCCCGCGCTCGGGCGCTGGAGAGCGGCGCTCCTGCTCCTCTCTGCCCCTGCCGTCGTTGCGGGGCGCCCCTCGTCTCCACTCGCCGGGGGCCGCCCGACCCTGGCCGCGCTGGAGCGCACCCGCTGCGGCGTCAGCGCCGCGCCACGCGCCCCCTGTTCCACGACGTGGCGGCGCCGATGCTGCTGCGCGGAGTGGTGCGCCTCCAGCGTCGCCTAGGGCGTCGGCGATCCGCAGCATGGTCCGTGCGAGCGACCTCTCCTGCCTCCTCCTCCTCTGCCACGGCGGCTCCGCCGTGGCAGGCTGCACGCGGCGCCTGCGGCGCCTGCGCGCAGCGGGGGGGGCAGCGGGGGCGCCGAAAGCCCCCCCCGCTGCTGGCCCCTCGGGCGCGCCGCCGCGCCGCCCCCCTGGACAGGGGGCAGGGAGGCACCGAGGGCCCACTGTCACAGGGATCGCGCGGCTCGCGCGGCCGGCGGCACGCGCGAGCCCCGCCCCACTGAGAGGCCGACCGCGATCGATTGCGCGAGCCGCGACCGATCGCACCCGATGATCGGGTCGGCCCGGCCCAGCTGTGAGCCCGAGCTCATCCCTTTTTATTATCCTCCTGCTCCTCCGCCTCCTCCCCAATCTCCTCCTTCTCCTCCTCCTCCTCTCTCCTCCTGCCTCCTGATGTCATGCTCATTCCTAGGTCTCTGTCCGTGCCGGTCGACTTCATCGATTGCGCATGCTCGCGTACCATGAGCAGTTCAGCCGCGCAGCTCCCCCTCCCCCCCGCGAGGCAGCGACAGCAGCTCTCCATTGTCATCCCTGAGTTTGGTACGGGACGTTCTTTCTTTTCTCTGGCTGGTGGCGCGCTCCTACCTCCCTCTCCTCGGCTAACCTCCTCCTCTTTTCTGCGCTCGGCAAGCATGAGCGAGCAACGAGGCCGTTGCGTTCAGGTGTGCCTCCTCCTCCTCCTCCTCCTCCTCATCCCCTCTCCTCCTCCTCCTCATCCTCCTCCTCTCTCTCCACCCCCTTTTCTAACCCCTATCCACATATTGTCATCGCTGTTGTTCGACTGTCGTACTGGTGTGCGGTTACTGGTTTTCTGCGGGCTGTGGATCCTCTGGGCGGCTGAACAGTGGCTGCAGGGCGGTGCCCTCTTGCACGCGTCACGTTTGTAAATGTGCGCCTCCGCGCGGTGCCTGTATCTTGGGCCGTGAACTCCATGGCGCATTTGTTCGCGCCCCGCGCGGAACGTATCAACGCGACCGCGTATCCACGGGAGGCGCCCCGCCATTGCTCTGCTCTTCCCCCCTGCTCGTCTCCTCGGCTCATTGCTTCCCCGCTCCTTTTTGTTATCCTTGCCTGGCCCGCTTTTTTATTTGTCTGCCCGCCCATTGGCCCGAACAAGAGTTGTGCGGCTGGGGCTGCTCCGCAGGCGAACAGCCAGGCGCCCTTTAGGTGTTCATCCTCAGATGCGCAACGGTCGCCGGTACCAGGATCGCCTCCGTTCGCGCAGATTCGTTGGTTTCCAGGCCTTGTCGCGTGGCAGTCCTTCCGCATCCTCCGCATCCGTAATTTTGAGTTCTCTTGTCTCACAGCGGTTCCAGCCAATGCTGCGTTCTGCATCTCCCCCCTTCGCGGGGCAGCGGCAAGGTAAACCAGGGCTGGGGTTGCTGGCTCGGCGCGCCCTGCTCGGCGGGCCCTCCTCGGGGAGCGGCGGCGCCGGCACCCGGCCCTCTGGCGTCCGCGCGGTCCCCCGCGCGACGGGCATCGACGAGCCCAAGCCCGGGCAGGGCAGCGTGGATGAGGATCGCGGGGGTGCTATAAGTTACGTGTACCCTCGACATGATTAATCTCAGACGTGGGCGACGCCCCCCGTCAATGTCACCCCCATTCACCAGAGCCGAAGCCGAGCGAAACGCGGTCCGAGCGGGTCGTGGCTCGGAAGTCTGACAATGGCCGACGTCGTAGGGGAGGCGCCAACAAACACTTGGCACGCGCGACCGCGGTGCCACCCGAGCCCGGGATCTCACCCCGACAAGAAAATTGCGCAACACATTCGTGGTGCTGGTGCTGCCGAGGGTGGCAGGACCGGCGCGGCGCGCCGCCGCCGAGGCTCGGGACCGGGGCGTGGCCCCCAAGGCCGCGAGGCGGAGGACCAGGAGAGGCGCGCCGCTGCGGGCGCGCCTCCCCCGGGATGGGAGCCGCAGGCAAGTTGTCCTGGCTGGAGTGGGTGCGGGGGGTCCTGCGCTTCCTCAGGCCAGGGCGGGGTCATGCTGGCCCAAAACGCAATTCAAAATTTCGCGGAACAAATACTTTCTTGGTGCTGGTGTCGGCGTTCTGTTCTCCCATAAGTGAATGCGGGGGGGTCCTGGGGCGGTAGCGCATCGCATGTCCGGCTGCCAGCCGAGAGCCTCGCCGGAGCAGCACGGCAATGAGCTTGCAGCCGATGGGGGTCCACGCATTGCAGATTGGGGGGGGGGGGCGCTGCCCAGGCAGCTCCTGACCTCGCGGTGGGCTGCTTGCCGAAGCAAGCGCGCCGCCAACATGGATTAGACGTCTGCCTTCAACTTGCCTCGCCAGGACTGCCAAGGGTCCCGTGTGTTTGTGGCAAGGAAGCAGTTTCCCTTGCGATCTTACAAGTCCTGACCCTCATAGCGAGAACTTTCTTCGGTTGAAGGGCAAAGGGTGACATCTGAAATGCCAAATCGATGGATTCTCCAGGTTTGAATCAGCAAACATGTGAATCACAAGACGAGTTGATTTTCAAGGTGCGCAGGTCCATATGGATTTCACCCTGAGCCCTCCAGCCTAAAGAAATGCTCAGTCGTGGCCGCTGGCCAGCCACCACCACGGCGAGACAACGGCAACTAGTTGGCCTTCGGGGGGGGGCCCTCGTCGCCACGGCTGGACGCAGCTCGGCAAGAGGGGTCCACAAGATGGGGCTAGGATTAAGTCGGGCCTGTCCTTCTACAGGGGGGATATTCAATGATAGTCAAAGAACTAGTCTGGGGACTACCTTTTCTCCCGCATTTTTTGCTATGCTTGAACATGTTGGGGTATTCTTTATTTTTTCGTTCAAATTTCGCCTGTAGGGGGACAGGCCCGACCTGAGGCTAGGACGAGGATGCATCTTTTCAGAGCTTTCGGGAGCGCTCTCGGAGCGTTCCGGAACGCTCTGAGAGGGCCGCGGCGCCCGAGGCATCCTCCAGAGCCGCCGGATCTCAGCGCTTCCCGACTCATCCTCACCCGATGTTACCCTCGTCCCAGCTTCGTCCCACGTCCAAAGGCCGAGCTTGAGCTGCCGTTGTCTCAGCTCGCCCCGCTCCGACGGCTCCGCGCTGGCATGCAGTGGTCTGCCACAGCGAGGGCGGGCGCCAAGGTCGCGGCGTGACGCACGGCGCGCGTCGCGGAGGGGCGGCGTTGGGCCGAGCCGCGGGACGGACATTCGCCGACAGCTCAGCGCGTCAATCCTCTCTCTCATCTGGACGCTCCCTGCGCCCAGGCGAGCGCAGGCATGCAGGACTGTCCGAGGGGAGCGCAGATGTCGCCGCTGCGTGCCCAAGAGTGGGATTGCTGAGCCCGTCGTCATTTGCTTCCCATGCTTGCTGCTGGAGGCCGCTCTTCATTCCTCCTCCTCCTCCTCCTCCTCCTCCTCCTCCTCCTCCTCCTCCTCCTCCTCCTCTTGTTTGTATTGCGCCGTGCCCTTGCACGCGCCCGCCGCCCTGGCAGCGTGAAGTCGGCCGAGAGCGGCCGTCGCAGTTTTGTTTGCCCGTTCGTCCGGCTCTCAGGGACTGCGGCCCGCAGGCCAGAGGGGACCAGCATTATTGCAGCCTGTTTGAGGACACCTCGCTGGACCTGGCGACCCCCATTCGCCTCCGCTATCCACTCCTTGTCCGCCCACTGTGAGGACCAGCCAACGTACGCGTGCTGCTCCCGGCATTGCCGCTTCGTGCCTGCCCGTCTGCTCCCTGCGCAGGGCTCCCGCACGTCATGGCCAGATCGGCGCTCATGCGCTGCTTTCGGGGGCGACGATACAGTCGGACCAGGGTATCAGATCTAAGTCGGCTCGGGAAGGGTACTCTAGTGTTCGTCGTGTGCTCCTCAGTTCGGCCAGCGGAGGGTCCCGTGTTCTTGAGGGATGTGTTTTTCTGGCCTGGTTTCGACTGTATACCTCCAGGGGCTTCGCCGAAGACGCGGACCATCGGCGCCCTTGGATACATGTCTTGTCCCCCCCCCGGGCTATCTGCGGCCACTGTCGCCCCCCCACGCTTCGGTCGGCTCACGGGCTCCGCGCACAACAGGACGGCCAGGATTGCGACAGGGTCCTGCCCCCAGCAGCCTCACACCAGCTCTGAAAGGGCCTGGCTGTCGATCCCCCCACCCCGCTGCAGAGCAGAGTGCGGAGACACGGGGCGTTCCAAACAGGGCCTTGCCTTCGAGGACTGAAGGAGTTGCCATCTCTTCCGCGGCGGAAGGCGGCGGAAGGTCGGCGGAAGGCGGCGGAAGTAAGACGGCGGCGTCTCCGCCTGTAGAAGCCGGCGGAAGCTCGGCGGAGGCCGGCGGAAGCAGAAGTCGACCTCCCAAGAAGTGACAACATTTTTGGGTTCGGGGCCTCCAGAGTCGGCCATGTGAAGCATAAAAAGGGCAACCGGCGGGGCGCTGGGACGGGATCGGTTGGCGCCTTCCTTCCTCGCGGCTCGCCCAGCTGCGCGCGACGAGGCCACTCCCTCTGCGGCGCCTGCGTGGTGAAGGCCTGCACCCCCTTCCGCCGCCACCGCTGCCGCCGGCTGGCCGCGGGTCGGTGCTCGTTGGTTCCAAGGTGGGGTCCTGAGGGATGGGGTCACACGGAGAGGAAAGGATCCCAGTGTGGATTTGCATTGCTTGAGGCACCTCCCCCTCAGGATCCCATCCCTCAGGACCCACTCTTTGAGCCATCGAGGTCGGCGCTGGCCGAAGCGTCGGTCGAGGCCCACCACGTTGGGGGATGCCAGGCTTTGGTAGGCGCGCGCCGATCTCGGCGCTTTGCTTTCTCGAGGCACCTCCTCCTCGGGGCCCCATCCCTCAGGACCCCACCTTTGAGCCGCCGAGGTGGGCGCTGGCCGACGTGTCGGTCGAGGCCAACCATGCTGGGGGCTGACAGCCTCGGGTGGGCGCGCGCCGATCTCGGCCAGACCTGGGGCCCTCGGGCCCTGGCGCGGTCGCACCCTGCCGGAGCGCAGGCCACGCCGAACCTCACCGCCCACCATACCACCCCAACCCAACCCGAAGGCGTTGATTTGCTCGCCATTTCCAGTTCGGGGGGGGCAGGGAACGTTGGAAAAAACGCGCGTGGAACGGGTACCCCCCCCCAACCCGAAATTCGGGTCCTCGGGTTAGGTTGAGGTGGTCTGGTCTGGTAGGTGGTCAGCACCACGGTCCGTCTCGATCCGATCCGTCCGGTTCGCTCTCGGCTCTGCCCGGCCCGCTTCGATTCGAGATTCTGGGGGGCGATCCGAGGCGGCCCGATGCTTGCAGGGACGCTGTTCTACATCCTGGCGCCGCCGGTTCGATTCGATTCCGACTCCGAGCTGCTGCGGTCCGATTCGATGCACGTCCCGCTCCGATTCGATTTGCCGATTCGATGCTGACTGATGTGTTGTCGAAGGCTGCCTTCCGTCCTGGATGTGCCTGGCAGCGGCGAGAAAGCGGGGTCCCGATGCCGTTCTGGCAGCGCCTCTCTCCCTCTGAGGCGTGCATCTGGACATCTCGTGCTGCACAGGCCCAGGGCCACTCAGAAGCCACGGAGGCAGCGCAGGGACCTTCCAGGAGCCTGCTGCGGCGCGGGGTGGCATGCAGGGGTTCCTGTGGACGCCACTGGCCCTGCGGGGCTTCGTAGAGGGTGATCGACCACATCACCGGCCGGGGGTGGGTGGATTCTCGGAGATCCAGCTTGTTTTCGTTTCTGATTGTTCTGTTTAAGATGGGGGCAGCGACAACGCCGCAAGGAATGAGCATATCTGGCAATGAGTGTGGGGTTCCTGGTGCAGCGCAGCTGGGCAGGCACATTCAGGCTTCGCTCCATGCTGAGCGTTGTGGCCCAGGCGCCTCCACGTTTGTCGCAGTGTTGTGGCCGACTTGTCACTTGGACCAGCTTGCGGGTGAGCCCGCATGTCTATGACTTCCTGCTCTCGCGGCTCGCTCTCGCCTTCCCTCTGTCTCTCTCTCCCTCTCTCTCTCTCTCTCTCGCTCTTTTTACCTAACAGCTTGTTCTGATAGGTTTCTAGTGGTGTCAAAAGAGAGCAGCAGATGACTCCACAGGGGGGTCTGGGCGGGTGCCGGACAGGGTGCCGCAGAAGTCGTTTTAAGCCAACAGTCACACACTTCGTGCTCTTCGACCTCCCAGAACTCCATTCCCGGGCCACATTCTGAATGCCCGGAGCAAACTGTAGGCCACTTCGTGGTCTTCGACTTCCCAGAACTCCATTCCCGGGCCACATTTTGAATGCCCGGAGCCAACTGTAGGCCACTTCGTGGTCTTCGAGTCCCCAGAACTCCATTCCCGGGCCACATTTTGAATGCCCGGAGCCCACTGTAGGCCACTTCGTGCTCTTCGAGTTCCCAGAACTCCATTCCCGGGCCACATTTTGAATGCCCGGAGCCAACTGTAGGCCATTTCGTGCTCTTCGACTTCCCAGAACTCCATTCCCGGGCCACATTTTGGATGCCCGGAGCCAACTGTAGGCCACTTCGTGCGCTTCGACTTCCCAGAACTCCATTCCCGGGCCACCCATTCCTGGGCCACATTTCAGCAGGGGCAAGAGCACGACGAGGAGGAGGACGAGCAAGACCAGGAGGACGAGGACGAGCAGGAGCAGGACGAGGAGCAGGAGGAGCAGGAGAAGAAGGACGAGCAGGAGGAGGAGGAGGAGGACGAGCAGGAGGAGGAGGACGACCAGGAGGAGGAGGACGACCAGGAAGAGGAGGAGGAGGAGGAGGAGGAGGAGGAGGAGGGGAGGGGGAGGACTACCAGGAGGAGGAGGAGGAGGAGGAGGAGGAGGAGGAGGAGGAGGAGGAGGAGGAGGAGGAGGAGGAGGATGAAGAGGAGGAGGAGGAGGAGGAGGAGGAGGACGAGGACGAGGAGGAGGAGGAGGAGGGGGGGGGAGAGCACCAGGAGAAGGAGAACGAGGACCACCAGGAGGAGGAGGAGGAGGGGGGGGGGAGAGCACAGGAGGAGGAGAACGAGGACCACCAGGAGGAGGAGGAGGAGGAGGAGGAGGAGGAGGAGGAGGAGGATTTTTGAGGAGGAGGAGTAGGAGGAGGAGAGAACACCAGGAGGAGGAGGGACGAGCAGACGAGGAGGACGAGAACGAGGAGGACCAGGGAAGAGGAGGAGGAGGAGGAGGAGGAGGGGAGGGGGAGGATACCAGGAGGAGGAGAGGAGGAGGAGGAGGAGGGAGGAGGAGGAAGAGGAGGAGGAGGACAAGGAGGAGGAGGAGGAGGAGGAGAGGAGGACGAGGAGAGGAGGGGGGGGGGAGGGGGAGACACCAGTAGGAGGCGAACGCGGGACCACCAGGAGGAGGAGGAGGGGAGGAGGAGGAGGAGGAGGAGGAGGAGGAGGAGGAGGAGGAGGAGGAGGAGGAGAGAGCACCAGGAGGAGGAGGACGAGCAAGACGAGGAGGACGAGAACGAGGACGAGCAGGAGGAAGAGGAGGAGGAGGAGGAGGAGGAGGAGGAGGAGGAGGAGGAGGAGCAGGAGAAAGAGGAGGAGGAGGAGAAGGAGGAGCAGGAGAAAGAGGACGAGCAGGAGGAGCACGAGGACGAGCAGGAGGAGGAGGAGGAGGACGAGCAGGAGGGGAGGGCGGCCGGCTGCCCCGGCCGGCTGCCCCGACCGGCCGCGCTTGCGCCTGGCCGCGGAGCGCGGTCAAGGGAAGGGGGCGGGGGCGGGCGGTCAAGGTTGATACCCCCTCCTCGCTCGTTCCACTGCCTGCTCGCAGCAGTGGCACCAGCACATGCACAAGAGAGTCCTGCATGAACTGTTGTACTTGCATATCTGATGGCCTTCGGCCAAGGTCGTGCGCACCAGGGCTCTGAGGAAGGCTCCCTGCGCCCTTCTGGGGAGCCCCTCTGGGGAGCCCCTCGGGCGAATTATTCGGGCCTTCTGCTCGCCATGTCGGGCCTTCCTGGGGGACAGACACACCGGACGAATTATTCGGGTCTTCTGCTCGCCATGTCGGGCCTTCCTGGGGGACAGACACACAAACATGGGCCTCTCATATGTGCGCGCCGACTTAGGGCGACGCACGTGCCTGGTCCAGCACGCGCGGTGCCCCCGGGGAGGGGTTGCGGTTTTGCCAGATTGTGAGGACGCTTCAGAGCGGAACGCCCCTCCACATCCTTCCTGATCCCTCACTCATTTCAACCCGCGCTCCCTCAGGTGCACACTGCCGGCGCCAGCGCGAAGATAACAAACACCTGGGGGGCGCCCCGTTCCGCGAATCCCACTGCAGAGCGGGGATCTCGACCCCCCAATGGGATTCGTGGAGCGGGGGGGCCCTTGAGAGGCCGAAGCATTTTTTGGGGCGGGGGGGGCTGCCCCGTTCCCTCGGACGGGCGCAGCCCCCCCCTCGCCGGCCTCCTCTCCTTGATCCCTCCTCCTAACGTAACGCGCCCGCTTTAAGTTAGTGCATATAATGCATCGACATCCTGGGGGCCGACCTTGCTTTCCTGGCGGTAGTCTGGCGAGATCTGCTGGTTGTTGGAGGAAGTAAATGCGATCGGGGCCCACGGCTTTATACAATTGCGTTTAGTTATGTAAGCGGCTCCGCCGTTCCGCCCCTCAGGCGCCCGCTTCGGGAAGGCGCGACTCAAAGGCTGGTCATTGACGTTCATTGCCCACCCGCGAGCACCACGCCGGCGCGCAGCAGGCATCACCCTCACCATTGTCATCATCTGCCTCGTTAACATCATGACGACTGCTGCGCTGGCTCGAGTGTGCCCCCGTTGCTCGCCCCGACTTGTGCCGCGGCGGCGTCTGGTTGCGCGTGGCCGGAGTCGTGGCCGCCCCAGGCGGAGCTCGCCGTGGCAGTGGCGGCGACCGTGTGCGAGCCGCACTGGCCGGTGGTGATGGTGGTGCTTCTCAGCCCGCCACGCAGGAACTCGTCAATGCGATTCTGCAGCTAGGCCACCTGCCTACCCAAACCAGCCGTTCGAGCGCGGAGGAGAAGCGGCTTGCCGCGGGCCTCATCAGAGCACGGAAAGCAGAGACGCTGAGCTGGCAGCAGGAGGCGCAGCTCCGCGGGCTGCAGCCTGCCACGAGGGTCCACCCCGAACACTCTGGTGCCTGCGCCGGCCCCAGCAGACAGGCGCAAGCCAGCGCCAGCGAGGTCAGGGAGGATGCAGGCGGCGGTGCTTCTCCGACTGCCGCGGCAGGCAGCGGTGCTTCTCAGCCTGCTCTGGCAGCGGGAGCAGGAACTCTCGCCAAGCAGAAGGCGCAGCAGAAGGCATACCTCAAGCGGAGACAGAAGAGCGAGGAGATCATGCAGCAGGTGCGGGACCTCGGCCGCTTCCCGAAGGAGTCTGCCGGGCGTAGCCCTGCAGAGCGGCAGTTGGCCCGGAAAATCTGCGCCGCACGGCGTGCCAAGCAGTTCTCGCCAGGTGGCGTCCAGGGCAAGACGACGGACCCAGGCTTCATCGTGCACTGGGCGTTTCCGCCAGGAGTCAAGAAGGAGTCCATTCGGCTTGCCTACTACGTCAGCCTGTCGCGCCCCAGAAG